TGGAAAGTTATTATATGAAACGCTTTACGCTAATCTGCAAAACTCAGTGCCCTCAATTACCACCATAAGGAGATCACTAGAAGATGAATTCATTGAAGAAGGTGTATTGAGAATAAATGAGTTGGCGAAATTTTTAAAGAAACGTGGTCTTCCAAATGTTATTTGGATTAGTGAAGATGGGACCAAAATTACACCAAAAATCGAATATGATCCAAAGACAAATAAAATTGTTGGCTTTGTGATACCTCTCAAAGATGGCATGCCATTAAAAAAACATTTTCTAGCTACATCTGCAGCCAAAATTCAAAGTTATTTTCACTCAGAAAATAAATCTGATTACGCTTATGTTATGATGGCTCAATGTCCAGTCGATAAAAGCCCCCCTTTTTGTTTGGGACTTTTTGGTACCGATAATAGGTTCACATATCAAGATGTCCTAGATAGATGGAAATTTATAGAAACTGAATGTAAAAAATATAATATTAGTGTTTTAGGATATTCTTCTGATGGAGATACACGATTAATGAAAGCCATGCGTTTAACAACATTGCTGGGACATAACTCAAATATCTGGGAATGGTTCCATGTCTCATTTGAAAGAAAAATGTGTGTACAAGACACAGTTCATATTGGAACAAAATTACGAGTCCGATTTCTTAAAATCGATCAACCACTACAAATGGGAGAATATATTGCAACTCCAGAGCACTTAAAAGATGTCATTCAAAACCACAGCAAATCACTGCATTTTCTAACAGAGTCGGATTTGTCTTTAGATGACAAAATGAATTTTGAGGCAGTGGAGAAAATCTGTAAAGAAAATGTTAGAGAACTATTAAATAAAGGCCCAGATGAAAATTTGGGAACCATTATGTATCTCAAAATAATAAGTTATGTCCTGGAAGCATTTTTATCAAAAAATCTGTCAGTGAATCAACGAATACACTATATGTGGTATTCTGTATTTTTTCTAAGAATATGGCGTCAATGGCTCAAAAAAGAAAATGGACTGTCATCTACCAAAAATTTTATTTCAGCAAATGCATATCTCTGTATTGAAATCAACGCCCATGCTCTTATAAACTTAGTGAGGCTCTATAGAAGTAATATTACTTTTCAGGGAGTGGATTTTACTCCATGGTTATTTAGTTCACAGCCCTGTGAACAAATTTTTAGAGCCACGAGGTCCATGACATCCACGTTTTCAACGATTGTAAACTTTAGTTTACTGGGAATTATGAACCGGTTGGCAAAAATTGAAAAGCTAACAAGCATTATAAATGATCTAAAAAATACTCACATATTTCCTAGAGAACAATCTTCCAGACAAGGACGAGGAATACAAGCGAAACCGACTTTCCCTACAGATGAAGAAATCGATAATATTTGCACCAACGCACTCAAAGAAGTTCTAGAAGATCAAAAGAGATTAGGAATTGATAGCACTAATAAAAGTCATTTAAACATAGCTCTTTTTGGTAAGCAGTCAGATTATTTCCAAGGCGAAACTCGGGAAGATAACATTGAAAACGAAGAAGCGAACGAAGATTTATCTTGTAAGCCAATTTAACTCTTAAAACCTATCCGAGTATCTAATAGAAAATAATATTATAACTAATTAGAAAATTAATAAGCATGCTATACCTATTAGTTGTATCAACACAATATCAATAAATTTTGGAAATTGCATGTGATGGGGACTCGCTTTCTAGACCCAACCCTCAGATCTAGTTGATATATGAGTTGCATGCATTTTCTACTACGTTAACTATAAAATATTATTCTCTACTCACTAAATGACAAAGAAATAATCACTCAAAGAATCGTCTCTACATCCTGTGTTAGTTTAAGATTTTTTTAAAAATAATCAGTTGTGTTTTTAGTTTTCTCTGGAGGCTTTTCGATTTCAATAAATGAAGAAAGCGTTGCTAACCAATTGAATTTCGAAACCAATTGGGCTTTATCTAGATTGGATCAAGGACTTAATGAAGAATCTAACAATGATGAAGAGGGCTTGGAAGACAGTTCAAATATTGTACCTGAAGAGATTCTGAGCTTCGATTATAAAATTTCTCTAAAGGATTACCAAAATGCAGATGTTAGTGAGAATAGCCCATATGTACTATTAAAATTGGGAGAAAAAGTTTCCACAGTTAAGAAATCTACTCTCTGTTGGCTTTTCACAGACAAAATATCCAGGTTTGTAATTTTGGAGGCATATACGGGACTAAAGTGTCTTTTCATCCTCGAGGAATTTTCTCCCTCGCGTAGGCTACAAACCACAGTTTGTTTAATCAACTCACAATTTTTTGTCATATTATCATGCCTCATTTTTTATGATATGAACGTTCATTGCAATCATTGCATTAAGAAAGGTGTCATGACATGACATAATATTGCAAGATAGGTAAACCAATTTAAACAAACAGTGGTCACACCAGGATAAAAAGTGCAACTTGAATTGTTTATATACTCGTTTACACCTATTGTTTTTTAGTTTACATTGCATCATATCTTATCAATATTGTCTCACATTATTTTTGTAGAATAAGCAGTGATAGACTGCAGAGGTTTCGAAATCATGGCTCTATTTCATTAATACCACATACCCAAGAAATCGAGCAAGAAATCATTCCTGAAAAGTATTATGCAGTATACTACACTGAGCAGTGGTATGTTGGAAGGATTCTGGAAATTGAAGGAGTTATGTGTACCGTGAAATTTCTACATGCTTCATTAAATACATTTGTCTGGCCAAAGAGGGATGATATTGCAAAAGTTGAAAAAAAGTATCTCTTCTACGGACCCCTAAATATGGTTGGCATCAGCCCAATGGCAATATTGGAAAATGACAGGCAAGCAATCGTTGGAAAATATAAAGATTTAAAAAAAAAAGAAAATGCTCTGGAAAAAAATACCAATTGAATCGAGAACGTATTTGAATGAGTTTATACCAATGCAATGTACCTATATGTATTTGCTTCTTTACTACCTTTCCTTTAATTATATTTGTTTAAATGAATCATGGCCTATTATTTTTTTATTCACCTTACCTCAGATTTTTCATAGTAAATCAGAGAGTGCTTTGATTACAAAAACATATAGTCTGTCGATTTTAATCTGATACTCCAAAGGAATGTGAGCTGGTAGCTTCCTACATTAAAACGCGAATGGTTACCTAACGACTTACTTGTTTTTGCCTTATGAAACATTTCCTCGCTCCTCATACGGAAAGTGTCAGATTAAAAACGACGGACTTTACGTCGCATTATTATTTCTTTATTGGTCGAGATTTTTGACCAAGTTTTCGACATTACAAAATGCAATGACAAAATTGAAGAAAAATATTGCTGAGACATACGTTTAAAAAACCCGAGAAAAAACATAGCCATCTTTGATTTTTTTTTTGAAAACCCATCACAATTGACACAAGATTAATTTCTTCTATCATAATAAAAATTCTAGAAAAATTCAATAATAATGTTTTAAAACTATTTTGTCATTTTTCAAATTGACAGTAATTTATTTTACTAATGAAATAAAGTGCACTTTAATGTACAGGGTGGCCCGTTTAAGAGGGGCCTATACCTTATCTCGAAATCTACAAGGGCTGTAAAAAAAATTTAAATACAAAAGTTGTTTCTAATAATATTATCTACAACTTTTTTGTATTTTTTTTGGTGTCACTCTACTATATACAGGGTGGACAAATCAAATTTAATTTTTTTAAATGGAACACCCTATATTTTAATACATTTTTAAATAGCTATTTGAAAGACAAATTCAACGGTATACTGGTCATGTCTCTGTGATATACCGTTTCGAACTTATTAGCGACTATCTTCAGGATTTGGCGTAATTTTCAACAGTCATTGTTACGTTACTCATAAACTTTTTAAACTTTTTTTTGCATGATATTTTCTTTAAAATCATGCTCTTCTTCAGATTATAGTCAAATTTGAAATATTTGTTTAAAAAACGTGGTGTTGCCACGTTTTTCAGGCCGAAACGGTGCATCACAGACCCATTTCTAGTATATCGTTGAATTTGTCTTTTAAAGGGCTATCCAAAAACTAGGAGGTCCCATTTGAAAGAATTGTTGAAAAATTTAACATTTTGCAAAACGTGGCAACACCGCGTTTTTTAAACAAATATTTCAAATTTGACTAGTCTAAAGAAGAGCATTATTTTATAGAAAATATTATGCAAAAAAGAGTTGAAAAAGTTTATGAGTAATGTAACAATGACTGTTGAAAATGATTCCAAGTCCTGAAGATAAGTAAGCTAATAAGTTCGAAACGGTATAAAACAGACACATGACCAGTTTATCGTTGAATTTGTCTTTCCAAGGGCTATTTGAAAATGTATTAAAATATAGGGTGTTCCATTTAGAAAAATGAAATTTCATTTGTCCACCCTGTATATAGTAAAGTGACAACAAAAACAATACAAAAAAGTTGTAGATAATATTATTAGAAACAACTTTTTTATTCACATTTTTTTCACAGCCCTTGTAGATTTCGAGATAAGGTATAGGCCCCTCTTAAACGGGCCACCCTGTACTAGTAGGTACCTTCTATATAAAAACTACATATAAAATCAAGTTAGAAATGATGTTAAGGGGTTTTAAGTAATTTTGGTAAATGTGTGTAATTTCGGTAATTTTAGTAAATGTGTGTAATTTTTTTGTAATTTCAGTAATTTTAGTAAATGTTTGTAATTTTTTTGTAATTTCAGTAATTTTAGTAAATGTATGTGTAATTTTTAGTAAATATTGGTAATTTTGGTAAATGTTTGTAATTTTTGGTAATTTTGTAAATATCATTAAATATTTTGTAATTTTTTGTAAATATTATTTTGGTGTACACGATTGTTCGGAGTGGTTACCCCCTCGATTATTGTGCATTGCGTGTCTGCAATGAAAGTTGTCATATTCTATATGGATATATTATATACGTTTAATTTTTTAAGCATATTGGTTAATGTTAAATCCTTTTCAGTTACATTACGACCTAGCTCTAGTGAATCGTTAAATCGAAGGTCATGGGACTCTTCCAAATTAGTCTCTCAAATTGTTGAAGAATCCGAAAGTCTTGCTAGTCCATCCACGAATGAAGACAACATTAGCATCAAGTCGACACCAGACACCACAAAAAGGGATGACAAGGATGGAATGTTTTCGAAGCTGAAGAATAATTTTAGAAAAGGTAGGATTTGACTTTTATTTGATTTGTTGTGAGAAGTTTTTGCACTAAACACACTTAAAAACAAAGTTATCAGTTCCTATATAGAGTGTTTCTCAACCTACACGTATAAACTCAGGTGGTGATAGAACTCCTTAAAAAATAAAAAAGTTTCCTTAAACTTTTTCTCTAAATTGCGTTTTAAGATATTCACAGCCTTTCGAATGTGGATTGGAAAATGATGTTTTTATTTGTTGATATCCAAGAAAACCTACAGCAGTTTATTTAAAATTCTGTAAAGATAGGTATTTTTTCATCGCAAACCTAGTTCAATCAATGAAAATCAACATTTTTGTCCAAAATCTGAGCAATAAGTAATCTCATCAACTAAGTTTACACATCATATTTTTGAACCATTTCCATTGTATAAATATACACAGGGTGGGTCTCGATTTTATCATTTATTTAATACAATCGCTTGAATCCATCGATTTTTTTCGAGGTTTTATCAATCAAGTATAATAACATCATTCAATAAAACTTATGCTGTTTTCAAAAACAAAAATTCCAACTCCAAAGAATGAAACGACTGTTTAGACTGAGCAGCGAGGATCATTTAATAAAATGTTCAATCCTTGGTTCAATGCATCATTTCATATTATTATAATAGAGCCTATGGCAGTTTTGAGCAAAAATTTTTTCACTCACTTTATGTTGGTTGCGTTCAAATTTTACTTTCATGACAACTTTTTGGACATCGATAGTTTAGGAAGGATATTTGTCAAATATCTAGAGATGGTGAACTAGGGTTTGAAACTACAAAAAATATTATACTTGAAAGTTTATTCGGCTTTTAGATAAGGAAAAAAGCGAAACATCACCAAAACGTGACAAATCTGCAAACAACTCTAATGAACGTGTTCTGATAGGAGTTGAACGGGAGGCTACACCTGGAAAACCAAGTAACCACATATCAAATGAACTTTTGCAGAAGTTCCAAGGAAAAACTAGAGAGGTATGTTGATTCTATTTTTAAAATTAATTATTCTGGTTTGTACAGATTTGGATTTATTATTCAAAATATTGAACATTTTGTTGAAATTTAAGCGTTAAAACTTTATTCACTGCATATTGATGTTGTACTGAATTTCCAACATCCATTTTGTTCATTGATGATGCAACAAATAAAGCGAGTACATGGATGAAATTGAAACTGCCTGAATGATGAAATATTTTTGATGATTATGAATGCGTTATACGGCAAAAAAACTACAGACGATGTAGTGAAATTTTGTAATTTTGACTTTGCTACTTTGACTATCTTTGATCTCGAGAAAGTTTTGGAAAGCGTTTATCCTAAACGTTTTGTACATAAACTAGAAATGTATGGCTTCAGAGTAAAAATGAATGGTGATGGCTTCTTATACGAGTAATTCTTTGATGCTGGAAAGTATTTCTTAGATTTTTTATATAGACCATGAAATAGTGGAGATCAAATGACTTTCTATTCTTATTTTTTTGCCCATAAGAATGTTGCAACACCTAGGTGAAGGCTATAATTTCAGCATTTATGTATGTGGAACTAGAAAATTCCTTTTTGTGCTTGATGTAAATAAAATTAATAATAAATGAATGTGAGTTTGAGCATTTTATAGTGTTAGAGAGAGTAGTTTGTTGAAATTTGCAGAGAAGAGATAATTCACTCAGCAATGAGAGAAGAATATATTCCACAATGGGCTATGCGATGAATGTTCTAATTTTGCATATCTAGAGACATTTGCAAAAAAAAAAAAAAATTGGTATTGCATCTGGATTTTGGATCTTAAATAATGAAGAAATTACAAGGTCTTTTGAAAGTGAGGAAAAATAGAAAATTTCCTTGTATTTCCCAAAGGCATCAAATTAGCTGTAATTTGTTTCCGTTATTGTTTGATTCTTGAAAAAAAAAACAGAAATATTCTATTTCATTTGTTTCTAGTTTTAAATGATCAATTGACTGATTCTCTTCTAATAGTACTTTACTAGATGACAAATTTTACATAAATATTTCTTTAGGACTTGATTCTGGCCTTGACTGAGACGCAGAGTGACCTGGAGAAACAGAAAAAAAAACTGAAAGACCTTGAAGACTATCTGGACGACCTTTTGCTGAGAGTTATGGAAACCACGCCAAAAATATTACAAAATCCTTATGTCACCTACAAACTATCACAGAAGCAATATTTATAACTATGACTTGATATTGAAGTAAGATGTCATGTATCCATAAGAAATAGAGGCTTATATCAAGTTCATATGTTGTGAAGTGAATGATGTTCTGACACAATCGAACAAATGAAAATTGAGGGCAGAATGGTCCTTCGGTTAACCAAGGACCATTCTATTCACAATCTTCATTCCTTCCTGTTCTCAAGATAGGTACTTGTTGATAATATAATAATATAAGCCTCTATTTGCTACTTTCTATTGAAGTATTCGATACTCGTTTCTAGGCTCACATTTTGACTTAGATAGGGGCTTATATCAAAAATTATCTTGCAAAGTGAATGTTGTCTTCACAAACCGTTCTTCGGTTATTGAAGGGCCATTCTTCTCCAAATTTTCTTTCCTTTGATCATGTCCAGACATCAATCTCTACAGCCTATCATAAAACTAGTATTTATAACTATGACTTGATAGTACTACAGTAAGATTTCAAGTATCCGTCGTAAATAGAGGCTCTTTAAAGGGTCTTAAAAACGAAAATAAAGATGGCTACGATTTTTTAAACTATTCACTATTCCGCTTTTTTGTTGTATCGAAAACATCTTCTCAAGCAAAAATCTTCTGACAAATGACGAAATAATAATGCCAAAAATGTGCCACTGTGGCATTTATTTATGGAAACCGACGCGACGTAACGTTTGTGTAATCAAAGCACTCCGATAATTATTATTTTTTTTTTAAGTCCTGGTATCAAAAAGTACAGTATCCGTCAAAATAAAACAGTACCGAACATACAGGTTATATCATTTATTAATTTGTATAATGCGTATATGTTCAAAAAATGCTTCATAGCTACGCAAAAAAGCTTCATAACGATTCTGCAAGTCATTAAAAATATTTAGTGAGAGTGGTTGCTGAAATTTTTCTGAGGCTTGTTTCAAACTTGAGCCTTTATTCCTTCCAATTCCGTATGAAAGGAAATAGTGCTCTACTAAGAAAACTGTTTCTTCAGTTGAAAGATACATAATGACGAAGATTTTAACCTTAATTTAATGTCAACCTCATAACTAATGCCAAGTAAGCAGAATATGATAAATGCAACTTGCGTGCGCAATTACTGAGAGCTCTAAATTTCGGTACTGTTTATTTTGGCGGATACCATATTTGGCAATATGAATGATGTCCGGACACAATCGCAGAAATGAAGATTGAGATAATTTTTCTACTAATCTTCATCCATGAATCTTTATAAAACTATTTAGTATGGTTTCTTTTCAAATTTGGAGGATAGCTTTTCATGTGTTAGACTATAAGCAAATTTACAAGAAAGCCATCAGAAACAAAAACATTGAGCTCATAAATGTAACAAAACTTACAGGTGATATTATAGAGTATCGAGTACTTAACTAACCATGAAGATGTATTTCAGCATAGAATCTCGTTCGGTTCTGACAGGCTAGCCTTGTTGGATATTGACTAGTTTAAGATTGGTTTTGAAAAAACTTGCCCACAAACAAGACCATTCACCTAAGTTTATTAATTTATCCAATACTTGGTGAAACTTGAAATTCATCACAACAAAAATACAAATAAGTCTTATCGATGAAATAAGTCACTTTTTTGACATCACTAGTAGTATCATCACTAGCTACCGGAATCAATCCGGTGACTAAGAAAAAAAATTATATTTTTCCATGTATTGACTGTATCAACAATATTATGTACCTATTCAACTTTTTTGTTTTATGATTCTAGTTATTGCTAATTTATTATTATATTTTATACACTTATATTATTTTGTCCAAATAAGGAAAAAAAGTTGTCACAGCTAAAAAATAGGAAAGTTACAGCCTAATAGTAAAAACAAATATGTAGCTGTAACAAAGCTTATATTTGAGTAGTGGCAAAAGTGATAGCTGATGCAACTTTATTATGACGTAATTCACACTAAGAAATATAATTATGTAGGAAATTTTTTTTCTGTAATATCTTACATTAATTCCATATTAGCCTGTATTTTAGTATCCTGGAGGGCGGCTGCTAGGTTAATGTTCGATTATTTTTATATTGTTCAGGGTTGTGACCTTAATTTGACGACAGAAAAACCAACTCACCCTGTATAAACATTATATTAAGTGCCTTTCGTGCAGTGATATTGAGAAAGGTATAAACATTATTATGTACCTATTCAACTTTATTATTTTGTAATTTTAAGTGCTAATTATATTTTTACTGTGTATACACACCTGCCATCCAATGGACTTACTCCTTCAGATGCATACTCAAAAGATTGAACGAGATTTGTAAGTTCCACAGGCTTTCCAGTAAAAGGTGTTAAGTGTACAAATACACAGTCACTACCTACTCGTACTTACTATAAGCTTGTATCACTTTCAGTCACTACTAGATTATGCAATAGGAGTGATTGTGTCCGGCAAGACAATAGAGCGAGAGAGAGAGTTATTGGACGTGCAATAAGGACAAGCACTATTTAAATTAGCCTTATTTTGACATCTACGCATGCGCATTTGGGTCTGAAAATAAGGATTTCCTTAATAAGGTTACTGCTTGTCTTTATTTGTGTATGGTTTTTAGTTTTATTCCTTTCAAGAGCTTGAAACACTAGAGCTACTCGCTCCGGTGTTAGTCGACCCCGATTTGAAAGGAACAGATGCACTGGCTTTCATGCATTTAAATGGTTTGAGTCGGGCTAGAGCACTCAGGTGCAACAAACACTTTTCGAAAAGAATAAGCGCCTAATGCCCCGGAGCTTCCTAGGTATGAAAGGAATACAACTAGTGCGAGGCAGTAAACTTCCCTTATTTCAATATTTCTGACATTTTTGACGACTTTGACGTTTCGCTTTTCGACGATGACATAATTTTACTAGAAAATTTGTTTTTCACAATAGTTTTTCATTTTACTGTAGGTAATATCAAAAAATGGGTATTAGCAGAAAATCACAAACAAAAATAAACACTTTTTGAGGTTGAAATTTATAAACATAGCTATCAGCTGTCAAAATTATGAATACAAAATAAGGTAATACTCTAACACCTACAGCAGGGCTGTCCAACTTCAAGAGCCCCACTTTAAACAAAATTACGGTTTGGAGGGCCGCATTATAAAATACTTCAAATGCAACTTCATTTGTGAGTTTTAATAGGCATGGTATACAAAGAAAAAACGCGTTACTATATACGATATATGTGCCGCGTGGCTTCTCGAATATTAAATTTGATTTGGTTCGAAATTTGGAACGTTTCTGGGATTGCGGAGAACTGCTTGCGCACAAAAATAATAGAGGACTGTTCTAATACTAGTTCTGAACCGATTCGGAACCAAAGAAACCAAACACGCCGCAAATCACAAAATTCTGAAACAGTTCCTCCTTCAGAACAAGAACTGAGAGAACCATTCTAGAACAATCCCAGAATTGTTCTTAAATAGTTCTAGATAAACCAAAACACTGTCAACACAGTTCGATTACGATTCTGAAAAAACGAAAACGCGTTTTATATTATGCGCATGTGCAGAATGATTCTGAACTAGTTCTGAGTGAAACCAAAACAAAGCTATTGTCGAGCAAGATCGGTCCGAATTCTAGTAACTTCGCTGCGACTTTCTATCCTTCGCCAGTGGCGTCACATGTTTTTTTATTTCCGTTTTATCGTGAATGTAAGCATTGTGCATATTCTATATTTGAGAGTAATTTATAAATTTGGGGGCCTGCTCCGCGGGCCGCAAAAAGTGCTGCCACGGGCCGCATGCGGCCCGCGGGCCTCTTGTTGGACAGCACTGACCTACAGTATTCCAATAACTGTTATTTTCTTGGAAAAATAGTGCTGTTGCACTAATAAAATAAGGCAGATTCCTTATACTGCGAGGCAGTATTTAATAATTCCAATAACTCTCTATTAAATAGAAATTGAGTTCCCCTTCATTAGGTACAGACTGGTTTGGAACTTGACAGTTCATGTCAGTCAATTTGGATTTCTGATTTGGCATGCTTGCTTGTGTGGCACTGACTAGAACTAATAAGTTTCAAAACCAGTTTGTAACTAGCGAAATATCTAGTGAATCGGAACTCAATTTTCTCATCATGGTTCCACAAAGCACAATCTCTCGTATTGCATGACCTAGCAGTGTCTAAAAGCGATTTAGACTTATGGTACTTTTTATATTTTCAAACCTCTAGCGGGATAAGACATTCACCATAAAAAGACATAGCATATTAGGCACACTAGCCTTGCTGTACGAACAAACTTGAACGGCGATCAATGTGATAGGGGCATATGGCGTATTTAGTTTCCTCATTCACAAAAGAGACACCATAATGTGCCTTGTGGCATTCAACGTGCTAAACGAACAATAAGGGAAAGTACATTTTGCCTACCCTGTATTTATTATCATGGCTGTTAATTTAAAAGGCAAAACTAAACTTTATTCTGTTAGGTTTTTACTATTCTACAAAACATACATAAAAAAGTTGTATTTGGTGTTTATTTTATTTTTGGATGATTTGCGCTGTTTTTTTCAATATATGGATGATTCCTAGATAAAGTATATTGAGTCAGTCATGTAATGCCATAAGCCCATGCAGTACGGACATAGCGGCGACTAACTCCAGTAATGGTTAAAGGCTTAGGTTGTTGAGTATTAGTAAAAAAATGGCGGTAAAATACGTCATGGCAATCACATGACTTACTCAGGCTTTAGGTTTAGCAGGGTAAGCTAACTATAATTTATTGAAGAATATTCCTGAAAAAGTGCTTGAATAAAATGTTTTAAAATTTATGATACACCTTTAACTATTATTAACCATTTAAGTAAATTTTAATATTTAACCCGGCATTACACGCGTCAAGAAACTTACGTCATTACACGCGTACGGTCAAATCGACCGACTGCCCAAAAGTTTATATGAATTATTAGCTTTTTCCGCGGAGACGATCCCAAACGTATCCTGAACGCTAAGGCGTGACCTATACAGGTTAACTAATCAATAGAGACATGAAACTTTCAAATATTACCTGCGTAAGTCATGCCTTAGAATTCAGGATTGAGGATACGTTTGGGATCGTCTCCGCGAAAATAGTGTACAAGCACTATAATTCTTAGAATTCATAATCATAACAAAGGGAAATATATTATGCAGTATAGCTAGCGTATTATCGACATCCAAAAGTACTCCGAAGATCAGAAAATGCCAATTTTGAACACAAATATTTTAGATACTCAGGTTCGCGCGCCTGGTCAAAAGCACAGAGTATGAGAACAACGAACTATACATCAACCAAAAACCAAAATATTTTTGGGCCAATGGGTAGTGGAAAACCTGCATCAGGCATTATTGGATGGACAAAGCTGCCACCCTTGTACCAGTGGCGTAATTACTGATTTTATCAATGCTCGTTCCTTTTGACCGACACGCGTGTACTCCTGGGTCTATTTGAGTCATTGATTAAAAACATTCAGAGATTTGATCATATAACTAAAGTCTTTACATTGCAAATTTGAGTGTATGTCTAGATGAAAATATGCTATACTGTTTTCTCCAATTCATTCTCTAGCAGTTTTTTTTTCCGAGGGTTTCATCCCCATTGATCAGAACCATCAAATGAAAGAAGGATTATGAAAATTCCTTAATTTCAACACACCGCATTTCTGCCTGGAGCTTAAAATATTTGTACATGTGTTTCCGGAAATTTTGAAAAATATGATGTCCTTTAAGTTGCGCAATTCTGACATATGAAAGAAATTATGCTTTATTATTAGTTATGTCCATTTTTCTTTAAACATGGCATTCTCAAACTTAGCAAGAAGAACAAATTTATTGTGAAGGAATAATCGAACTATTCCAAAACCTGATAGGTCGTGGCATCGTTTCGCCTTTAGGAATTACGAATCTTTGTTTGTTTGTTATTTTTATACACAAGTCCATGAAAAATTTACTGTGATCAAAACATTCACATTTTCTTTCATATACGTACTAAATTTTGAAAATGTAATTGTTTTTGTATCGTTAATCTTAATTGTTTATAATTTTATTCTATATAGCTAAGCATTAAGTTTAGCTTGTACTGCTTGTAGGTCATTGACAAAAGGTAATTATAATAAGACATCTACAACAGAATTGTATTAAACCGTATTACTTTCAATTTTTTCAATAATTCGCGATTTTAATTCCATTTTGCTTAGCTATTTAGGTATAAAAAATATTGTTTTTGAAATGTCATAGGTACTCCTTGTTTTAGTTTTATTGTTAAAATATTATATAATGCTTTCTAAGCACATTTTTTAACTTAGATATTTTATTTTATAATGATATGGTTGAGGATGGGTTAACCATTTTATATAATGTATAGTAGGTATATTTAAACTAATAAATTATTTATTTTTAAAATCGCTTTTTTTATTTATTTACAAATTCAAAAACAACAGGTTTGGATTTTCAATTTGTTTCTTTAGAGTTTCAATAAAGCTGGCCATACTAACTCCATCAATTACTCTATGATCAGCTGCTCCACTTATGTTGATTATTTCTTCTTTTATTATATTCCCTTCTTGATCAAATCTTGGCAGAATCTGAAAATATAAACGTTTTAAGTCTATCCAAATCCAAGGCGTTATAAAACAATAACCGCCACACGCGTGATCAGTCGTTTGCAGGTGGACAGTACGGTTCTTATTGGTCGATTCTGGTTTTCTGGCGATCTTGGACTTGTGCCAAATTTCAAGCGAACATTCTCGCCAGTCGATCACAAGGGTAGCGCGTAATTTAGTTGTCAGTTAGTTCTTTGTTAATTAGTTCGACGTTCGTCTTGGATTTGGATAAACATTAGTTGAAAACTCAAGTTCTTTGTAGATGTTTTTAAATATTTATTTTAATAACTATTTATTTTCTCAGAGATATTTTTTTTTAAATTTATTTTAGAGTCTATCCTAGTCACTATATTTTAAGATGTGTTGGACCAGAAAAATGTGAACATTTCAAATATTATCTGGATCGAAGCTTATCATAAAATGGAAAAATATTTGACTTTCATGGTCCAGAATATACAGGGTGATTTACGTAGCCCGTGCATCAGAAGTTTTTGAGGTTGCAGGAGGATTAGAAACTTCACAAATTTGGTTTCTAGCCATAATCAATCGTTCCGTTATCATCACCTAAAATATTTTCAGATGTTTAACTATACAGGGTGTAGCAAATGTAAGCACTAACTTTCTTATTTCAAATAGAAACTCGCAACTTTTTCAACATAGTTCGATTGGCCTTAGAATTTTGAGTTTGGACAACGCAAGTTTTGTCAACTTATCTTTTATAGTTTTTGACATGTGTCATTTTTTCTTTTAAAAATTGCCTCTGCAGTTGTTTATGGAAAACCAGGTTACTCGAGAACTGTTCTAAAATAAAAACCCAAATTAAGAACATAATCAGCTGAAAGGTCAGGCTAACTTCTGATGTGTGATTAGTGCGCCTAAGTTTATTTTATGCCATATGGGAATGCAAACATCGGAATCAATAATGGTCAAAAAGTCGATTTTTTCAAATGTCACTTATTATGTTTCTTGGCACCATTGGAGAGAAAATTGAATTTTACAGGGCGTTACTTGACCATTCCCTTTACCTAACTTGATTCGTTATCGAGTTACATATTCATAAAAATCAAGAAATCGCGTAACTCGTCAACAGATTTCTTGATGTGTCAACTATGTCATGGAAACAGAAGACAATCTTCACAATGAGTTAACAGAAAAAAAAATAACAAGACGATAAAGACCAACAGCAAATAATAATATAAGTATTAAAAAACTAGAAAAACAACAAAATTTTTACTTTAACATATTGCGTAGTGCGTCTAATTTCATTGGGTTCGATACTGTCAAAAGCCTGTTCTATTCTATGTGTCAAGTTGTGTAGGTTTTGGACTGCTGAAGAATAAACCAAATCTTTTATCCGAACCCACACGTGAAAATCTAATGGGCTGAGATCTGGGGATCTCGCAGGCCACAGGAATGGTCCTCGATTTTCTTACCAAATGGTCATCGAATAACGCAGTCAGCTTCGTATGGACAGCTCTTATGTTGTGCGCTGGTGCCCCATCCATCTGTTACCATAAATGTGCATATCTAGCCAATGGAAAATTTTCTACAAATGTTTCTACCACATTTTATAGAATTTCCAAGTTTCCGCATTCAAATTTTCATCATACAAAAAATAGCGTACCTGTCGATTCATCACCAAACAAACAACTTCTTTCACCATATGTGGATTTTCGGAAGCCCAAAAATGTCGATTTCGCGTCAGTGGCGGTTCCTCCATAAGAGCACATGTGCACGTGCACTCCCAAATTAATATCAAACAACTTTAAATTTAATTTTATCATTCTTCAAATTTTAACAATCTACCTGTAAAGTATTAATTTAAAAAATTAGTGGCCAAATGCGCCAGCAAAACAAACGCAACCGGCAACGCTGGAATCACAGCGTCCACCGCGTCGCCTGATCGCCCCGTTCACTGCACATTTCAATATTAAATCCAATTGGTGGAACTATGCCCCCCGCACTCTTTGTTCCCCGCGAAGGTCTAGCGACGTTCGATGTTTTAAGCTGGCTGGTGTGCACATGTAGTCAGTGCACTTTGGGATCGGAAGCTGTTGTTTTATATTTATTTCGATTTCGAGCGCGATTTAACTGAAAACTGTGTGTAGAATGGCGGGATTTCTGAACCCCGATAGCCTTAGCGTGCAATATTTAAAAACAATTAAATTTTCTTCGGTTTCTTTGGAGGAAAAAATCCAAATCAAATGTGTCGGCCGTCCAAAGCCAAATTTAATAATCACCAACATAACAAAATGCAAAAGTCGTGATTATAAACGAACTTTTAAAATGGAAACTTACGAAAAAACTGACTGGTTGTGCGGTTGTGATGTTAGTAATAGTCTTTACTGTTTTCCCTGTTTGTTATTTGGAAGCGATGAAGCATCAGAATGGACAAAATCCGGCGTTAAAGATTTAGTACATTTATCCGAAAAAATTAAAAAACATCAAAACTCAAAATCACATCTTACTCTTATCTTTCAATACAAAACGTGTCTGTGAGATTGAAAACTATAATACATTTATGTATAAAAACAATTGTTAGACCAGGACGATGTACTCAGCGAGGTAAGTTACTTTGTTACTTAATTTCTAGTTTATTGATATAAGATCCTTCAATTTCCACGATTTGATAGACCGAAAAAAGTATTAAATTGAGCTTAGTTGGTTGTTTGGTAGGGTAGATATGAAATCCCTTAACAATATTTTTAATTATTGGTAGGTAAACACATCACATAACTCATACGATCACTTACAATAAATTATTTTTTTAAAGGCCTAAAATAAACACTTCTGGGCGTGGCACCCCGAAAAATTTCGCGCCTCCGGCGGCGCCTGCGGCGGGCATCCCCCTTTCGGCATTTATTATGAATTACAAATTATGTGCACCCCCAATATGTTATACCACGAGCCGCCACTGTTTCGCGTATTGTAAACTCCTTGCTGACAAAATTTTGCTTCATCAGTCCATATTATATTTTCTAAGATACTGTTTTGCTTATGTATTTTAAGCAAATGGTCCTGGCAAAAATAACCCTACGAAGAAAATCACCTGGCTGTAATTTTTGCAGCCTTATAAATGAAAAAGGATGTATAGGTACCTAGTTTATGGCGATGCAAAATCGTTTATATTTTAGAATATGAAAAGCCCAACTCCAATGAGACTGTTTGTATTGAGGTCTTAGGATATGCTTGAAAATATCCCAGAACAGTAATTTGATTATCGTAATTGCCAGTTACTGGTTTCAATCTAGCAATGGGTCTAGTCACTACCGAAACTTCGAAAATTGTTAATTAAACTTGCAAATATTCCCCTTGTCATCCAGGTGTGGATATTTCAAACTGAACTGATGGATGGTTGGCTGGATAATTTTTTGACACCTGCCATGGATTATAAACAAATCCAAAACCACTTCGTGTGGATAGTTTTCCATTTTCAAAATAATTTTACTTGGTCCAGAATAATAACCGAGGTGGTTTAATTATTTCAAACTTGACAGACTGTTGCAGTTGTCTGTGGCAGTTGAATATTTCCTTCCGAATAATTAGTCAATCTAGATCACGTGATTCAATATGATCGTTTAGGTCCAATATTGTGGTGACGTTGCCAATGTCAAACCTAAACGTCTAGAATGTGACAAAATAAGTTATTTTTCATTGATTTTCATCAGTAGCCTAAATGTAAACAACACCGTGTTCGACCTGAACAGCCATATTGAATTTCGTTTGACAGGTCAATCGATTCCCTAATTTTGACCAGACAGATTAAGTGACAATCTTGAATCTTGGTCTTGGTGTCAAAAATCATTTTCAGGTGGAAAAATTGTCTATCAGCAGTTGTGAGCTAGTTTACTGGAATATGTATCCGCGGCAATTCACAAAATGCCAGTATTTTCTGACAGCTGCTGTGAGGTGATATTTTTGACACCGAGACAGGTCAAAATTAATCAGAAAAAAAACAGTTAGACATGACATAGGACACAGTGGCTGGCTGGGTAATTGCATCTGCGAGCAAAATGAGCAAAATTTGACAGATGTCACGTGATTTGACACGTGAAAAAAGATAAGTGATCACATGACGTCTGTCACAGTTTGCTCTTTTTGCACGCAGATGCAATTACTGAACCCAGCCAGTCAGACATGACATAGGACTATAGGACATATCAGGGTACTTATTCTTGAAACAGGGGCCGGCGCAGCGCTCCCAGGAGAACGACAGTACAACGAGTGTTCCGTCTTTGTTACTCATATTATCAGTTGTATATCATTGGGATTGAGGAAGACGGAACACTGGTTCTTTTTGAAACGCTGCTCTCGTTTCAAGAATAAGAACCCAGAGATTCTGTGGCAAGTTACGGGGTTTCTTTATTTTTATGAATAACTCGATCACGACTCAAGTTAAGTATAGGTAATGCTTGCCTGCACCCATATGGTATGAAATAGGAGGCGGGAGCACTACTGACACATCAGAAGTTAACTTGAACTTTCAGCTGATTATCTTCTGAATTTGGATTTTTAATTTAGAACAGTTTTCGAGTAACCTTGTTTTTCGTAAAAAAACTGCACTGTCAATTTTTTAAAGAAAAAATGACATATGTCAAAAACTATAAAAGAAAAGTTATTGACAACATTTGGGTTGTCCAAACTCAAAATTGTAAGGCCGATCGATCTATGTTGAAAAATGTTAATGAAAAGTCGGTTTTCGGCTTATTTGGACTTTATTTAATGAAATATCTAAATCAACAGCCAACGTTTCGACGCATTCCGCATCATTCTCATGAATCGGTCCGAATGATACGATTCATAGCTTTAATAATCTAGGTAAGGTAAACTTTGGTAAGGTATTTTGTAGATAACAATACGACGTTTTTATTAGTCAAATTAGGTAATTGGTTCTATGTTGTCTGGATTGATAGTTTTTCAAAAATATAATTTGTGAAACTCATTTTACTTATCTCTTGTTATGTAATAGTCATTGTTGAAACTTTTTAAATGTTAATTTCTTTTTTATACGTCATTTTTTAATTTATTTTTTAAACCTTTGTAAATGCTTCTTTTTTGTTAAATGTTAATTTATTTTGTCAGTCATTTTTTAAAATGTTAATCGTTGTGAAATGCTTGTAACGTTCTTTGCATGTTTTCTTTTAGCCTTGAGAATGATGCGGAATGCGTCGAAACGTTGGCTGTTGATTTAGATATTTCATTAAATAAAGTCCAAATAAGCCGAAAACCGACTTTTCATTATGTTGAAAAAGTTGCGAGTTTCTCCTTGAAATAAGAAAGTTAGTGCTTACATTTGGTACATTCTCTATAGTTGAAGATCTGAAAATATTTTAGGTGATACCGAAACGATTGATTATGACTACAAACCAAATTTGAAGTTTCTAATTCCCCTGCAACCTCAAAAACTTCTTATGCACAGGCTACGTAAATCACCCTGTACAAGAAAAAAAATGACAGCCATACAATGAACCCTATAAACATGTATAGTATAAAAGAAAGGTCTTTGATCTTGATCTTGTTGATGTATTAATGTGCATCAAACGTAGTAATGATAAAAAAATTGGAAATTACATTACCATTTACTGTTCTTGCAAATATTATGAATTACATCGGCTATTCTGAACAAGAAAAACTCAATATCGTAGAGAAAATGGTGCTTCACGTCGATGATCTCCTGCGTATTTTTCCTTCCAAAACTTGGATGGTTTTTGGTCTGTCGTTATAAACTTTATTTTTGAAATAACCCGGCAATAACGTGTCTAGTGGAGAAAGGTCAGGACCATTCGCTAACCATATTACTTGCCCATGTCTACCCCATTCAATGGATGCATTTTATTTGAATAGTTAGTCTGCTTTCATCATCCATCACTGTTGGATATCGGCCTTTTCCACTGCCTTTCACTTAATCCTGTGTGTTTGGTGCCGCATTCATTCAATTTCCCGCCACTGATCGCATGTCATGGCTCCATTTGGTTGGTGGTCTGCATCTGTTTCTCTTGTCCTCTGTTGCTCTCCACTCCATTACCCATTCGAGTAGATCTGATGTACTTCATACGGGCTATAGGCTATATGGCATGCCCATCTCCATTTGGATATTCTGATATTCTGGAGTATGTATGTGACCTATCTTTGCTCAATTTCTTAATGTGATCGCCCATCCCTTCTTGTAATCCCCAACATAGGCCTTTCCGTTGATCTCCGTATACTCTAAGCTTATTTGTGGTTTTTTTTTGTTAGGATGAGACTCTCGCATACAGGTTCAATTACTAGTAGGAACGCCTTTTTCATACCCGCTTCTTTCAATGAGACATTGGAACCTGCTTTTTATGTCTCGTATCGTACCCAATGCTCTCCAACCCAAACTTATGCGGTGTTGCAGGGGTAATTATCTTGCCCCGTTTTTTATTTCATGGCATTCGTATTGGTTATCGTGCCCCTGGTGTCCATCCATCAACTTTTATGCTGGTATTTGGTACTAAATTAGTCATAAATCTGTTTCTTTGAGAGCTTATAGTGATACCAATGCTTGCTGAAGATAGATTCAGACTCAACCGCATAAGCATTTGTTGAGCTTCATATATCTTGGGCGAAGCGACACAAAAAATTTCCATCAATATTTATATTCCATTCTGTTCCCAATTTAATTATTCGAATATATCTATGTATTCCAAAACGGTCAGCAAGAGCTTGAGGGAAGTAGTCCCTCCATGTCTACTCGTACTTTATACTTTTCCGCAGTGTGGTGTCTGGCAGATCCTGTTGCAATGATCGATGGTGATGTATTGTTATTTGGTACCTAACGGTCTATCATTCGGACTCCTGTACATTTATAGAATGATCCCATTATTTCTGGTAGCTTTGGCTTATAGTAGTTGTTTCCTTTCCTTTGTGGTCAATTCGAAAATTTCTCTTTTGCCAGTGGCTAAGGACCTTTATGTATTTATTTTCTTCAAGATATTGTATCAGCTGTGATTATGCTATGTAATCACTTCGATTAGTAAATATTCAGTTCATGCCGATATAAATGTCAATGGTGTAAAATCTCATAATTATTTGAGTAGTGAAATACATCTTCCCTTATCTCCCGAGTTCTGCTCGGAATAATAATTAATTTTAGCACCCTTTTTTCTATATTATCTTCTCTGTATTAAACTAACTTGGTATTTTCATCAATTTTTTTAATAATTGTATCCTAAGTTATCTGGAGTTTCCATTAGCCTTTGTAGCCCAGGGTCGATCTGATGCTTTATATAGAAAACCATGAGCAAATTAGAGACGAGCTGAAATTTGTTGTATAAGTTTGCACTAGGGTCCTTAATAAACAACCCAACCCCACCGGTAATCGGCCGTGCCTGTCACCCCTAGACAACCCCTAAGGGGTGAAAATCAGACTTTTTTTTCAGTGTTTTTGGCAATATCTCAAAAACAAAGTTATTTACGAAAAAAAATGAAGGAAGAAACATTGAAGAGCATAAAATTTCCTATAAAATCACGTCTAGCAGTTATATTTTGCTCTACCAGTGGCCGAGTTATGATATTTTTAATAACTGGATATTTTCTAAAAATACCTTCTCTCTAGCCATAACAATTTATAGGGTGCAGGATAAGTTGGGACCTTAAAATAATGTTCTTCTTGCCATGCCCGCTATTTCCAAATGTGATACCACATCTGGCCTGTTTAACAGAGGAAAACTGCATCGTCTGGCAAGGATTAGTCCTCGCTAAAACCGTCTGACACTAGGTGCATTCGATTCGCAATGTTTTTCTCTTTAATTGAGAAACTTTGGGGGCGACTGGCAAGGCTTTAAGCCCGTGAAAACCGTCTGGCATTATTACAGCCTTGTAATGGCACATTTTTGAATGATATGCCGCAAAAATTGACCATCAGCAAGTATTTCGAATTTCGTGAATTTTTTAATGACTAAATGACCCCACTACATGCTGCCAGACTATTGTTCTCGATCACGGGGCATAATATGTAATACTACATCGTTTACGCAAGAAATTGCCCATCGGCAACTTTTTACGGAAAAAAATTTACTGGCTCTTAGACATTTCTTTTGGGTGCAAGTATGGTTGAATAATAGTTTACTACTCCAGCAATATGGGGATGGGTTTCTAGTGATTTTGGAATCTCTTCAGTCCAGACCTCCGGTGGATCCCTAAACAAATTTTTTGTAACTGTTCACCAGGTGGTTGCAAAAATGCATGCTCATATCGTAAAAATGGCATAAAGTGTATTTTGCCATGTGGACAGTGTGATGGTGTTACCTGTTTTAACAAGACAGTTGAGGATATATAGGCGGATGACATCTCTAAATATGCAGATTAAAAGCAGAAATTCCACGGATATTGAAAATAATTATTTTGATACATTTAATACGTACGTATAATATTAATTCCATTAACTCATACAAATTAATGTATGAAATTAGAAATATACCTAGTACCTACTTGTACTCCCCACTGGTATGCTTTTTATTTCTAATTTATTGACTTAAGAATGTTTTAAATGTATTTGCCAAAATATCCCTATGGAGTGTTAGATATTTTTAATATAAAAATCCAATAAGTAATGACCAGAGAGTATTTTTACAAAATACCCAGTTATTAAAAATACCATAACTCTGCCACTGGTAAAGCAAAATATAACTACAAGTGATTTTATAGGGAATTTTATGCTCTTCAATTTTTCTACCTTCATATTTTTTCGTAAATAGCTTTGTTTTTAAGATATTGCCAAAAAACTAAAAAAAGTCCGATTTTCATTTCTTTAAAGGGTTGTTTAGGGGTGACAGACACGGCCGATTACCGGTGGGATTTGGTGGTATTTTAAGGACCCCAATATAAACTTATATACCAAATTTCAGCATGTCTCTGATTTGTTCAAGGTTTGACTGAATCGAACCTGGGGCTATTTGTCTTTTAAGTTTTCTCTCCTCAATCAACAGTTTTGTATGTTGTTCTGTTATATTTTCTGGTGATTGGTTTTCATTTATCCGTCATTTTAGACCTTGACTTTCCGGTCGGGTGTCACCTAGGTCCATCTCCTTTTGGGTCTCTTTTCAAAAAAGCTGTTTGCCCGATGACTGGGACTCCCGAATTTGGAGGTTTTGCCATTAAGAAATAATCCCGAGCAAGTTCTCTGTCGCCGTTACCGGATATTTCTAGCAGATAATTCTTTGGATATGCAATATGAGCAGCGCGCGTCGATGGACTCGATAAACCAGATTTCCTTAATTGGAGGCGTTGCGTTATAGTATTTTACTTAAAAATAACTTCATTTTAGGAAATTGATGGTATTAAAGTTTTTTTCCACAACCGGGATCCATTTCGCCAAATTTATTGTTACGAAATGGCATCAAGAGCCAAGCCAGATTCTAATAATCCAGTTGTTTACGTCTAGGGCGCGTCTTTTCTGGAAATTCTATTACATTCGATGCAAACAAATTCTTCTGGATAAATCCGGCATACGATGTCTCTATAAATAGCGGGTTGAAGTCAGTTTCCAGGCAATTTCAATACGAGTTATGTTGTGTTCAGTTTAAATGAGCGATAATAAGTGATAAAGATAAAGAAAATTTTTATAGAGTCAAAGTTTGATGAAAGTCGTTGTTTTTGTTTGTAAAGTAAGTTTTAGTGGAGTGGGAATCTGTGACATTATTGAAACTTTGCATGGTCGTTCGTAGAAGAGTACGTATTGAGCTTATTTTGTTAATGGAATTATTATTAGTAAAATCAACTTACCTGAGTGGCGCCAATGGCAATTATAGCGACTTGAGGAGGCAAGATAACAGGCTTTGTGTAGGTACCACCCACCTAAAAATAAACAATCACAATATAAACAAATAGAAAAGTACGAAAGTTGCAAGTTATATAAACAGAATACCCATTCTGTTCGGCGTTATTGAGAATCCAGCTCAGCATCTTGTTACTAATAAATATACGTTTCATCCTGAAGTCTAATTTTCATTCTTCGCGTAAATCTAATAAAGTTTCTCGAAAAATGTGATTTACAAGAATAAATATTTTCAATATTTCAGTCGTCAGGTAGTTCAAATACAATTATTACAATTTGTAAGACTAACGCAATATTGTCTAGACTTATTATCTGACACTCGGAAGATAAAAGATGACGATCACCTGACAACAGTTAAGAACTTGTTAGCTAAGCGAAGTCGTTATTTAAATTATATACATGAAACTTTTATAGAACCCTGAAAATTTGATTTTCACTGGGATAGATGGTTTTAAAACAGTCTTTTTGTTTGGCAAGAAAGTTCATTTTTTCAGGTTGCTGGCGTCTAAAATTCTAAGCCCAAATTGAGATGATTTGTATCAACATAGAATACGCCTATTCGTATTGAAAACAGGTAGGTATTACAAATATCGGCCCATGGTAGGTATTTACAAATTTTTCTTGTTTTTCATAAATTGCTAAATATAAAACTACCTAAACAAAGTAGGTATGACTTACTACGCCAATATTGGATATAGTGAACGTTGCTCCGCTAAGGTCGCTGATAGAAAAGGATCCACTTTTTCCAGTTTGAATTATTCTATTGAGTTCTCTTGCTACATCAAGAATTGTGAGATTGTTGACATTCTTTATCACCGGTACTGCCAAGCCTTGATTTGTATGCATGGCAACACCAATATTGTGATTTCTCCTGTAAATGATATTCTGGCATTTTTCGTCAATCGATGAATTGATAATAGGATATTTTTGCAGAGCATTTGACGCAGCTTTTATAAAGAAGGGCATGAAGGTGAGTTTGACATCAAGTTCTCGAACAGCCTTCAACTCTTTACGAAGTGTGGATAGTTTTGTAATTTTGATCTCATCGCTGTAGATGAAATGAGGTATTTTCTGAAACAATATTTTATATAAATTATAGGTTTTTCGCAATCAATCGTCGCCATAATTAAATAGGTGGGTACTCACAAGTGCCTCTGTCATAGTTTTAACCATTGCTTTTTGGAATCCTGTGATCGGTTCTATTTTAATATCATCGTTACCAAACGCTGTTTTAGTTTCAGATGAAATTGAAGTTTTTTCTGCAGATCGATAATCTTCCATGTATTTTAGAACATCTTGTTTCAATATTCGGCCTTGTTTCCCATTTCCCTTAACCTCCGCTAAATCTATATTGTTTTCTTTTGCTAAGCGTCGTACAGACGGCAGACATAATATTGCGTTCTTGTCTGAAAAAAAAATAAATTATTCTTATTTTAAAAGATTTACTGTTGAAAGAAAAATATCTACCTGAACTATCAGAGGAGTTACTATCTTGTAAGAGAGGTGGGCTTTGAAGTTTCTCAGGCTCTATTCTCTGTACTGATGCATTTTCAGCTTTTGTACATTTGCCTTCTGCTTCGTTTTCATCTGCAAAGACAATAATTATCACATAATACACAAGTTAGATCTTTCAATTTAAATAAGTAATTTTCGTGCAAGAAAGTAGAGCGGGAGATAAAACCTATTTTCTAGAAGGATACATTCTCGAATAAGTATGACTTTTATTATTGAATAATATAGTCCTTGGTGATATACCTGCGAATTAAGTTGTTTCGTTGCATCACTAAAAAATGCTTTTTTCATTTTAATTATAGGTACCTTCACCTACCTACCTAACAATAAAATTGAGTAAATAAATGTCAGAATAAGTAGTTTGTTGTGTGAGTTCTAGGATGAATTAAACGCCATGAACTTGAATAAAGCAATGTTATTTTGCAACAAAGGTTAAATGGAAATGATATGAAATTCTGATTTCGACAATAATAATTAATAAAGCTGTTAGTTACTTTATAATGAAATGCTAGTATTTAGGTACTGTGTTTTATATTTCAAAACGCGCGCTTGGTATGTGAATGGCACAGGGAAAACGTAAGCTTCTCCAATGCTAGTGATTTCGTGCGGATATTGGACTGGGAGCTCATAACACAAAAAAGTTAGTCATTTGTAACAGAGGTATGGCGACCCCCTAAGGGTCGGATTACGCAATGACGAAAACGAAAAAGATGATAACTTTCTTGCCGTTGGGGCCTAATCGCATGGGGATTAATCGAAACGTACAATATTATCAAAAAATTGTAAGATTTTATGAGGAGTTCTAATTATTTGTAACAGTCTGGCACAAATTTTTTCTGAAAGTTCAAAGTACAAAGAATCTTAATATCAAGTTTCAAACGTATATGGTAGTATGGCAATCTTCTTATATAACAATGTTGTATAATTATTACTCTACGGCTCCCGCAGCTCGAAATGTCTCTCCTGGGTTGTGGCCGTCCTGCTCGATTCATTAGGAAGGTGACACAATGGAGAAGTGGTTTCATGAGACTTGTAAGTTGGAGCAAGTTTAAAGTTTAAGTATGGCACCTAATTCAGATTTCACGATAAGTATGGCATACTTTTTCCGAAGCATATTTTCCGAGATATTTCCTTATAATTTTTCGAAAAATTGAAATGACATACTGTAAGAATTCGTTTCGTTATTATTTTTTTGGTCTCATCTTAGCGCAACTGGTTGGTTATAGTCAATGTAAACAACAAGATTCGTTGTGCAAAATTCCAGTTTTTCTTACAATTATCCCAAAGATAAAATGTCAAAAATGTTACCATTGTGTTCAAAATTAATAACTGAATAGGTGTTACAAATAGCCAATAGCTAGATTATCGAATAAATTCGAAAATCGTGAAAAAGTGATTTTGAGGTTATAAGATGGCAAGTAATTGTGGATCCTGTACTGGTGAGATTATTAAAGAAGAAAAGTATGTCCTCTGTGACAGCTGCATGATGTCTTTTCATTTGGATGAAAAATGCTTGGGTCTTGCCGCAAGGGAAGTACGAGCAGTTGAGCTAAAAAGTAGATCATTGATATTTTTCTGTCCTGACTGTAGAGAAGCATTCAAGAAGATACCAAATCTAGTCAAGGAAATTAAGCTCCTAAAATCTGATCTCACAAATGTAAAAAAAGAGCTTACAGAAGTAAATAATAGGGTCGAAACTATGCAAAACAAAATAGTGAATCTTGAAAATACAATAAATTTACCTGAAAATAAAAAAACAACAAATCTCGAGGTTCAACAAATGGAGGATGTTATTGCTGAAGTGGAAGATAGGAGATATAGATCAAATAATGTGATTATACTTAATATAAATGAATCGTTAAAGGCAAATCGCGGTGAGAGACTTGAAGATGAAAAGCAGACTGTTTTGGAAGCCTTGGAGAGTGTGAATATAACAGACAGAAATATAGGCATTCAGAGGTTGGGGAAATATGTACAAAATAGATGCAGACCCCTAAAAGTATGTTTTGCAAATCCCAATGATGCAAAAGAAGTTTTAAAAAACAGGAAAAATCTACCAAATATGAAAATGTTTGCTGATCAAACTATAAAACAACAGAAATACTACAAAACTATAAAACAGAAACTACTAGATATAATTGCAAATGGGGATAATTCAAAAACCATAAGATACATAAACACTGTGCCAACAATTGTTTCGAAGGGTGATGAAAGAGGAAGAAATCAAAAAAACCTTTAAGGCCTAATATACAAGCGAACACTCACAAGGAAAATATATTAATGTTAAACCAAGATATTGTTTACCTTAATATAGAAAGCCTTTATTCTCATAAGGTGGAATTAATGTCAAATGTTATGTGTTATGATCCAATGGTTGTCGTTTTGAGCGAGGCTAGAACTACCGTTGATGTGTTAGATGCTGAATTGTTAATAAACAACTATAGTATTGTACGGTGTGATAGTCACTCAAGACATACAGGTGGAGTTGTATTTTATATTAGAAGCGATGTAGAGTACAAAATTAGGGAGTCAGTTATACTTCCCCTAAACTATTGGATCCAGTTTGTGGAGGTTAAAGTGAGTGGTAGGAAATGGATGCTGGGTGGTCTATACCATTCTCCTAGCTCAAGTCATGCCACTTTTGTAGAACATCTTGAAGAGGTAATTGATAAATATTTTAGCTATAATAAGTGTTTGTTAATAGGGGATATAAACATAGATTATAATAATGAAACTTGTTTTTATACAAGAAAAATTAAAAATCTCTTAAACACGTTTGGTGTCGATCAGTTGATTTCCACATATACAAGAATAACAAATGTTTCTAAAACAATAATAGATTATGTGATGACAAATTATGATAATGTTAGCTCTGAAATCATGGACGTACCCAAAATATCAGATCACCTAATAATTGCTTTGAACTTATTCAATTCTTCTAAGCCAAAAGTAGAGAAATTTGTGAATGTAAGAAAATTAACTGAAAATGCTTTCAATCAAATAAATTTGCAACTGTTTTCTGTAAACTGGAATTCAAGGACTGTAGATGTTAATTTGGTAGTAGGGGAACTCTTAGACAATTGTACAAATGTTGTAGATCAAATTGCACCTGAGCAGAAAGTTAGATATACCTCAAACCAAGTTCCATATTATGATGTTACTTTAAAAAATATCTGTAAAGAAAAAAATATGGCCTACAAACGGTTTAAGGCTACCAACAGTAATTGTAGTAGGGAAAATGCATGGGATAATTATAAGAGATGTAGAAATCAATATGTAAACATGCTCAAGTATAAGGAAAGGTCTTATTATGAAGAGAAAATTGATCTAAATAAACACAATCCTAAAGAGATGTGGAAATACTTAAAGCAAGTTATCAAACCAACCGAAAAAGTGAATTTAAATAGGATACATTTTTTAATTAACAATCAGATCAAAATTGAAACAAACCCTAACAGAATGGCGAATGCATTTAATAATTATTTTGTTGAAAGTATAGTTGAAATTTCAAACAGTATCCCTGCCACGGTACCCTGGTCATCACTCAGTTATGAACAGGTGAATTGCACCTTGTCTAGTTTTCGTGAGATTTCTTTTCTAGAGTTAAGTAAAATAATACTCTCTTTGCACAAAGTAAATAAATCAGAAGTAGTTAACAGCATATTTCTTAAAAATACTTTGCATTCGATTGGGCATGTAATATTAAATTATGTGAACACTTCTATTCGTACAGGTGTATTTCCTGACCAGCTGAAGGTGAGTACAGTCACGCCAATACCTAAAGTAGTAAATACTCAAGATGCCTGTAATTTCAGACCTATAAATACTCTTCCTACTCTTGAGAAAGTACTTGAACTAACAATACACAATCAGTTAGTTGATTATTTTAATGAAAATAATCTATTTTTGGGCTATCAATCAGGTTTCCGAAAACAACATTCATGTGAAACAGCACTTCAGTTAATAATAACAGAATGGAAAAAATGCATTGATAATAATGAATATGTAGTTGCTGTGTTTCTTGATTTCAAACGAGCATTTGAAACGATAAATAGACAAACCCTCTTGGAAAAACTAGAGTATTATGGAGTGACTGGACTAGCATTGGGCTGGCTAAACAGCTATTTGAGTAACAGATACCAAAGAACAAGGGTGAATGATTGTCTGTCGGACTTGATTTCAAATGATATAGGGGTTCCTCAGGGTAGTGTCCTGGGACCGCTGTTATTTATAATTTATTTAAATGACATAAATCTTGTTGAAGGACCGCATCAAATAAACCTTTTTGCAGATGATACTCTTTTGTATATTGTTAACAAGGATTTAAACAAGGCTCAGGTAGACATAAATAACTCTCTGAAAAGTATAGAGTCCTATTTAGCTATCAGTAAATTAAAACTAAATGTATCAAAAACCAAAGCAATGGTATTGACAACGCAAAATAGGCACAAGAATATGGATATCAAATCTTTTAGGATTGAGGTTGATTCTGAAAAGATTGATATTGAAACTGAAATTAAATATTTGGGATACATAATTGATAATAAACTGAACTTAAACAGACATGCTGAGTACACAATCGGCAAAATCTCAAAAAAGTTGTATTTTTTCAATAGAATTTCAAATTCTCTTTCTATGTATGCAAGAGTTACGTGTTATAATTGCATAATAAGGCCTCATTTTGATTATTGTGCCTCTTTAATGTACCTATTTAATCAAAATCAAATATCCCAACTGCAAAAACTGCAAAACAAAGGAATGAGAACTATTCTAAAGTGCAGTCGATATACATCTATTGAAATTATGCTACAAGCACTTCAATGGCAAACAGTTTATAAGAGACTTTATTACTTGAGCATGGTTTTTATTTTCAAAATTGTTAAGGAGCAGAGCCCAAAATATTTTTCTAAATTTTTAATATGTAATAATCAAGTTCACAACCATAATACAAGGACACAGAACAACTTCTATATTGCTAGAGCTAACCTGAAAAGTAGTATGAACTCTTTGTTTTTTAAAGGGTTGGATGCTTACAATAAGCTACCAGACCATATAAAAGGATCAACTAATGTGAACCAATTTAGGAGGGAGCTATTAAATTTTATCTGAACTGTGTACCAGAGTTATCATGCCCTGCTGGCGTAATGTTGGGTAACTTGATTATTTGAATTGAAGTCTGTTGTATATTACTTGTGTGAAGATTAACTGATATAAAATTGCTTAATGTTTTCAAATGGTTTGTAATGTGGGTATACCTATATAGGGACTAGCTTTGGATGGAATATTTGTGTGTTTATTTGTTTAATGTGAAAATTTCATTGATATATGCAATGTATAGATATAATATTTTGTTGTATATTAGGCATGTCCTAAAATAAAGATATATATAACTGTGACAGTCTTCAGCCCCATATGCATGGTATCAGTATGCAACAATTTGTTTTCAGGTAGAATGGTATAGAAACAAACTGAATACAATGATGCCACTCTGTAGTAAATCATTCTACATATTGTACCAGTTGTAGCTCCAAAACGTTCCAGAAAACCAGTTCTTTAAGTATGGCACCTCTTTCAGACTTCACGATAAGTATTGCATAATTTTTCCGAAGGATTTTTTTTTGTAAACTTTCGAAAAATTGAAATGTCATACTGTAACAATTCGTTTCGTCATTCTTTTTTTGGTCTCATCTTAGCGCAAGTGTGACAGTCTTCAGCCCCATGGTATCAGTATGGGATATTTGTTTCCAGGTTGGTATATAGGAACAAACTGAATTCAATGATATCATACTGTAATAAATAATTCTACATCTTGTACCAGTTTTAGCTGGAAGACGTTCCAGAAAACCATTGCTTCAAGTAAAGCACCACTTTCAGACTTCACGATAACAATGGCATAATTTTTCCGAAGGATATTCCCTTGTAAACTTTCGAAAAATTTAAATGCCATACTGTAACAATGGGCTCTTTCACTAATTTTTGAAATTGGCATATTTGGATAAAGCAACTAAAACAGAATTTTCTGTATTTTTACTTTTGAAAAATTCATAATCCTTCTTGAGAAAACAGAGAAAAAAGAAATACGTCCAAATAAAAACCCAGAATTTATTTCTATGACGTCGCAACTCGCAATTTGACCGTGTTGCCACTAATTGTCAACAATGAAAATTTGTAATAGATTTAATTCTGAAATGTTGGCAAAATATCATGAAAAGTAATTAAATTAATTAGTTATGGATTCAGGATTTTATAATTTTTTTTTTGAAATTATGCTTAAACACAATTCAATACAATTTTTTATGTTTAGTTTTATTTATTTTTTTTACGTTGCACTACATTTAGTCACAACGGAAAACAGCGCATTCGAACCTTCACGTACTTGCTCTGCTTTTACAGAGTGCAACACAGCCGAGCCGGTCAGCTCCTTGCAACAACATGAGCCAAATGAAAAATATTTATGTGACGTCATCAATCGGCGCGTTTTAAATCATTTTGAATTTCGCTAGTTTCAAGTGCCTGTAAAAAACTTATTTAACCTTGTAGAACATTTTTTTTTGGTATATATGCCTAAAATAGTCCCTCATTTAGGATTTTATACTTAAATTGTTAAATTACGTATTTAAATTCTAGTGAAAGAGCCCATTTGTTTCGTCATTATTTTTTTGGTCTCATCTTAGCGCAAGTGTGACGGTCTTCAGCCCCATGCATGGTATCAGTATGGGACAATTTGTTTTCAGGTAGAATGGTATAGAAACTGAATACAATGATGCCATACTGTAGTAAATCATTCTACATATTCAGTTGTAATGACCCCAGAAAAATAAACCCGTAATTTACAATGTCTTAACAGTAAAAATTAAATGTAATCAAAAAATCAAAAATTGAATCTCCAATATTTCAAATCAGTACACCAAGCGTGTGTCATCATATGAATCAAATCCATAAAAATATTAAAATCAAGGTAAAGTAATTAAATTGGTGATTTACGACCGACACGAGTTTTTGGCATCCTTTGAGTTATTCGTCCTCACATGCTTACAACAAATCTGTTGACCCCGATAATCCAGGCAATTGCGACATAACTATGCGGTTTTAAACAAATAAATATATTTCTTAGAAAAAAGAACGGTCAATGAATTGAGATGACCCGGAATATTTTGGGGGAACGAAAAATATAAAAACAGCGGTTTTAGAATTCTTCACATTAGTCCAGTTGAGTTTTCAGTTCAGATCAGTTCAGCT